GATTTTAAAGTCACTTTCTGTGGGCAGTACTATGATTTTCTTTTCTAGTAATTAAAAAAAACCCCAAAAAACTGTGAAGCATTCAAGCTTTAAACTTTGTGGTGGCCCTAACCAAATTCCATAACCAAAGCCTTTTGAAAGTAGTAAATTGATGTTCACTGGCTTCGCTGGGCTCTGATCAGGTCTCCCTGAGCATTGCATTCATCTAGTCATCTGCTTTATGCATATAATCACAACTGAGCAACACATTGCAAATCTCCATGGCTAAGTGTTGAACAAAAAACTATGTGTTTTTTCATCAGTTAAAGCTAATTTAAAAAAATCTGAAATTATAAAACTTGCTAATTTTTACAGATAAAATTTGTACAGCTATTGTTTAGATACTATATATATACATATATATATATGTATGTGCTCTTGTGGCCAAGAAGGCCAATGGGATCCTGGGCTGCATTAGGCAGAGTGTTGCCAGCAGGTGGAGGGAGGTGATCCTGCCCCTCCACTCAGCCCTGGGGAGGCCACACCTGGAGTACTGTGTCCAGTTCTGGGCTCCGCAGGACAAGAGAGACATGGAGCTACTGGAGAGAGTCCAGCGGAGGGCTGCCAAGATGATGAGGGGACTGGAGCACCTCTCCTATGAAGAAAGGCTGAGGGAGCTGGGCCTGTTCAGCCTGGAGAAGAGAAGACTGAGAGGGGATCTCACCCATGTGTACAAGTATCTGAAGGGGGAGTGTCGAGAGGATGAGGCCAGTCTCTTCTCTGTGGAGCCCAGCGACAGGACAAGAGGCAACGGGCAGAAACTGAAGCACAGGCAGTTCCATCTGAACCTGAGAAAAAACTTCTTCACTGTGAGGGTGACAGAGCATTGGAGCAAGTTACCCAGAGAGGTAGTGGAGTCTCCTTCGCTTGGAGATATTCAAAACCCGTCTGGATGTGATCCTGGGCAATATGCTCTAGAGGACCCTGCCTTGAGCAGGGGGGCTGGACTAGATGATCTCCAGAGGTCTCTTCTAACCTTGGCCATTCTATGATTCTGTTATTCTGTAATGTATGTGACTAAATTTCCTGAAGTTTTACTGGTATGTTTTTCTCTTTACAAAAAAAAAAAAAAAAAAGGTTTTGTAGAATTCAGACAACTGTGGTTTTAAGCAAAACCCTGTAGCCTCAAGTCATGCAACCAGTGCCTTAGTGAGAGATGCACTTGATGTGCTTCACTGTGCTGGTGTGATTGGTGAGACCATTGACTTCTGCTAGATCTGTCTGGACGTGCCGTAAGACTAATAATATATCAAAAAAACAGTGATTCAAGGATATTGTGACTACTTCCCCATCCATGCTGTGTCAGTGGGCAGCAACCAGGAAGTAATAGGAAAAGCAAATAAAAATGACTTTTTATGCTGTTGTATATATGGTAAATTATGCAGCAAATTAACTAATTTAGAGCTGAAACTTCTTTCTTTAAAAATCACTTTTCTCAGTGTTGGATGTATAAGGTAGAAAATAAAATGCTTCTTAGAATTTGTAGTGGCTTACATTATTAAGCTTGGTACAAACATTAACTCATGAGTACTAGATAGTTCTTTATCACTGCTTGGGAAGGGACTCATTTTAAACACACTGTTCATCCTATCTAGGATAGCCTGTGGCAACAAATAAACCACCAAAACTTCAGTGTGTTCCCAAGGTATAAAAAGCACTGTTGTCAGTAAATTTTGAAAGCATAATAGATGTGAGTGAAAACGTCAGTGTGAGAGGACTGAGTCAAAATAGTTTTATTTGAAAATGTCAGTGTAATAATTACTGTGATCTTTTTATTTTTATGTAAAATGATTTTGTAACATATATATGTAAAGAAAAAAAGATTTCTTAAAGCTATCTTTGAAAACTTTTTTTCAATATTTATTAGACTTGCTTTCACCTGGAGATATTAGGACTGTCATTTAGAATCATTTAAAATTTTTCAATAATACTAACTCAATGCAGATTACCGTGTTGACCTCTGTTACTTTACTTAGCACAGCAACCAATAGTAGCAGTAGTGATTTAGCTTCAGAGGAACAGTAAGCTCTAGAGCTGTTTGCTAAGGGGAGAAAAATGATGGAGTTAGTTCTTAATTTTTGCGTCATTCCCTACAAGTCTTGCATAGGCCTTCTCTTCCTTACTTATTGTCAATGTTTTGTAATACCTTACAAAAATCTGGAACTTTGAGGTTCTGAGTTTTAAATTTACAATCATCCTTGTTTAAACAAAAATAGCAAACATAAATAAACAGGGCTAAAGTAGTTTGAAACACAGGGCTACTTCTGTGTCTCAGTAGCAGCTCATTGCACTGCCCCAGTGCTGAAGCATTTCAGCTTTCTCTCAGTTACATGAATAGGAGAATGTTCTGAACAGAGAGTCAGGGAACGCATTGTATTACTTTCTCTGCACAGGTCACAGAAGGGCAATACAGGGAGTTACATCTAGTTTTTCTCACCTGAAAGAAAAATATCGTGCAAGATTGCCAACAGGATGACATTTAGAAACATTTTTATGAAGGAAAAGTAATGATTCATTTTAAAATGAAGAATGAATCATAATGCAATAAGACTTTTTCTTACTAACAAATCAAATTGTACTATATTTTGGACTAAAATATAAACACAAAACTGATGCAATCTCATAGGCCTTAGCGTTCAATTACTGAAGCCCTAGCTTTAATATAAATTGCACTGACACTCAACATCAGGAAGTGCAGTGTGTTTTGTATAATCACAGTACATAATGATCCTTTAAGCATTGGGTTATCATAGGATAAAATCACCTGGTGTAGTGTTTTATTTTATTTTGGTTGAGTGGTTGGTTTTTGTTTGGCTTTGATTAGCCTTAGTAACCTAACTAGTCTCTGTGCTGGTTAAACTTAAAGGTCAATCTGAAGTCAAGCAATACTTTGATTAGGAGTGAGCCACAGATGGATGTACTTATCTCTTGTGATTAGTATTCTAGTTCTTTTCCATTCATTTTTAAGGTTCCTTGGAGAATTGTATTCTTCCAAATCACATTGACGAAATATTTTGATTGATAGCATTGTAAAAGCGTTTGTGGTAATTGTAACTATGGATCATAGTAGCAGTGATACATGAATGCAACTATTCCTTCTGTATGGTAATTCTAGGTTATTGAAAAAGAATCTGGTAAAGCAGTAAGCCTGTTAAATGAAATAAATAAATGACAAGCGAAATCTGGACATTTTTGCCGGTACACAGATATGATAATTAAAAATGCATACAGTCTAGATAAAACTCTGAATATTCATAGCAATTAGTCTTCACATTTATAGTAGGACTGAAAATGTACAAGACAGAAAGCACATTGCTTGTGCTACACAAGGAAGTACTTGTAAAGTCTATTTTATGAATACCAGTTAAAAGTACTTTGCTATCTACGCTTTCAAATGATAGTAAAGCCTCTTTAGATTTACCTTGGAGTAAAGAGTTTTAAAACTGAAAATTCTAATGCCACTTTCAATCCTATGTAACACTATGTTTTAGTGTTGTACAGTTACAGTTGTGTATATTCTCAGATCAGTTATCTCTAAACCGATAAATTTTTTCAGGAATAAACTTGAAACAAATCGAGTTTATAAACCTGGACTGTTTGAAGACTATAAGAAGTAGTTTATGGAATATAATATAATCCATATGTTGTGTACAAGTCAAGTGGTTCATGAAACTAAACTAGTGGTTCTGAAACTTTCTGAGGCCAATTAAACTATTATCTTCTCTCAATATTTCTTGCCAATTGCCACAGACGTTTATCCAGATGGGATGTCAGTGTCATGCCAGAAGGCTCACACTGGTATGGTGAAAGTTGGCTGGAAGTCAGTGCCAGGGTGCTGTGCTGGTAGCGTGTTCACTGCCTGGGCTCTGCTGTGATTAGTCACATCTTTGTGAAGCTCTTCCTGCCCTCTGGGCTTCTAGAAAGGGTAGTGAATCTGCAGAGAACAGTTGTTGATTTGTTTCTGTGTCTTCCCAGATCAAGTGTAGCTGAACAAATCATGTTGCCCTGCTGACCTTGAGCGCTGAGTGTGTATAGATCTCATGATATCTCCATTAGTAAATAAGATCTCAGTATTTTTTTATGGAGTTGTTCAAGCAACACAAAAACAAGGAAACTTTTCACAGAAATTTATTAGAAGTCATAGAATTTTAGGTTGGAAGGAACCACTGGAGGCCATCCAGTCCAACTGCCTGCTTTGTGTAAGACTACAAAGTTAGACCAGTTCTGAAATAGAACAAGAGGTCATCCTTTGTGTTTGTGTTTTCTAAGGTTCACTTCGATTCCTTTTGTTAAATAGTACCTTTCCATGATAATTTATTGTTTAGGAATTATCATCATTCATTAAAATCTGTTGGGTGTATATTACCGTCTCCTTGAAATCTTTCATCAGGATGGATGTGTATTCTATATAATAGACAGCCTTACTCACCATTTCTATAGTAGATACTAAAGTTGTGAGTCTGGCTCTTTACCATCTGTATTAAGCTCTGTTGTCAGCAGGGTTCAGAGGGGAGCCTTAGATACTTCTGCAACAGAACAGGGAAATACAGTATCCATTTCTTACTGTGAAAGTTATAACTATTATTATTCAGACCTCTTAGCTCTAAAAGCAGACAGGCTATCCAGGTTGTAAAAATGTATGAAAGTTCAATTGACGTTGTAAAAGTGGATGAAGGTTTTGATGTTATCTAATTTTTGCTTCTATTTTTTGCTTCAGTGCTTTTTTCCACTTCCTATAATTTTATTCCAGCACAGTAATGGTATGAGTACATTTGCAAAGAGGTGCTTACGTTTAATATGTTATCTGTTAGAAATTTGGGTTTCCATTTGGATAGAAGCCATGAAAAAAAAAATTAATCACATTGCTAAAGCACTTGGGATTGGCACTAGACATCAATTTTACTTATATAAACACTCTAATAGGTTTTGACAGGAGTTTGGAGAAGGCGTACCTTTCAGACATGCACCTTTCAGATATGCCCTGGAGTGATAAGCCATGGTACTGACTTTATCCTAGATGTATATCCTTGAGAAGACATATAATGAAATGTTTAAATTACTTTGTCTTCTCTACTGACTTTGAATATATCAAATAAGTTAAAGAGTTTTCTTAGAGTTAACAAAATATATGAGCATCCTCATCTATCTTGTGCCTCTGTACAACAGTCTAGCATAACTACTAACCTGCTATGCATCTTAAGGCAAAACTGACCCTGAGTTACAGTATAGTAATTAATTTGTATAAAACCAAAAAGGTAAAGTTGAGAGAGATAGAGACCATTTTTCTAAGCAAGTTACACCACATTACATCAGCCATTCTGTTTCTTCCTTTTTTTAGGTTTTACTGGGACTTAATCATGCTCATAATGATGGTTGGAAACCTTGTCATTATACCAGTTGGAATCACATTCTTCACAGAGCAAACAACAACACCATGGATTATTTTCAATGTGGCATCAGACACTGTTTTTCTATTGGACTTGATCATGAATTTTAGAACTGGAACTGTTAATGAAGACAGCTCTGAAATAATACTGGACCCTAAAGTCATTAAGATGAATTACTTAAAAAGCTGGTTTGTGGTTGACTTCATCTCATCAATACCAGTGGATTATATCTTTCTTATTGTAGAAAAAGGAATGGATTCAGAGGTTTACAAGACAGCAAGAGCACTTCGTATCGTGAGATTTACAAAAATCCTCAGCCTGTTACGTTTATTACGACTTTCGAGACTGATCAGGTACATACACCAGTGGGAAGAGGTAAGATATGTTATGTTTATATTTTTACTCACTAAGATCTTATTTTTCTAGATATAATAGTTGGGTCTCTCCAAAGAGCTACAATCCAGAATGGAATCAAAGGTTTTTACTTGCTTGCTGCTGTAGATACATATGGGTGCTAGTGGAAAGTCCTCTTTTGAAGAAAGCACGGAGGAGTTACCAACTTAGTCTGTTAACCATAGAGACAGAAAATACTGAAAAACACAATGGACATAAGCTCATACGGAGAATTAGTCAGTGATTTTAGGAGTTAGCTAAAGCTGCCTGTGAGTTTAGTGAATAGCACTTAGAATTGTGAATTAAATACTTCCGTAATCAAAGAGAACTTAAAATGCATGCTCATGTGTTTCTATTACAGGAGAAATTGAATCCATTTATAATTGAGTAGATTTCCTAGAACACTCATTGTCTGAAGGCTTCTATGTAGGTTGAATGTATAGAATACATAGTTAAAAAAGAAAAAAGTGGTTCAAATTTTGAGTCATTTCCTTCTAAACTGTCAGCTCCACTATTTCCAGACGTGACCTTATGCTGCCTGCCAACTTGGCACGGTGACATTTCCATGAAATTATGGCATTCCCTAATTTGGCATGCTCAGGGCTAGGAAGTATTTGAAACTCTTGCACATATTACCATGATTCAGTCATTTCATTTCTTGCCTGTCCCCGTTTCTGTAATTCTAAATATCATAATGTATTTTAAAAGGAAGCGCTAAAATACAGAAAAAAATAACTGCTGATTTTTAAGCCTTTCATGCAACTAAGCATACTGAGAATTATTCTGTGAAGCTTTTTCACTGACACCATTAAAAATAGACTTGCATAAATTTATTTACTTATTTTAATTTTTTAAAATGAAATTAATATCGAAAGATTACTTGGTACCCTTTCTGGTGATTTTCTGCTGGTTATGTCCCTTTTAAAGCATCACATTGGCCTTTTACGGAAACCTAAATGCTAAGCTTTCTCACAAATAAAATCAGATTGTATTAAAAAGGCCTGGTCCTGCATGATACTCAACAACCTCCTGGAATCAGTCATTATTTTTATTATTATTTTTTGTAACTTCTACATCTTTTTACCTCTTGTGACGCAGTGTAGCTATATTTTTGACACAGAAATAGAGCATGGCAGTTTTGTACTCAGTTTAACTAAGGCAAATGATTAGGAACATCTTGCAGTTCTACCATAAAGCTGTGCTTTTGTCTCCTCTGTTCTTTGCAGAGAGACAACCTTCTGAAATGTGTTCAATGACATTATTTTCAGTCAGCTTGAGATAATAGCTTGCCACGATAAAACTCAACTAAGCAGTGAAATGAATACAGATCTTTTTTTTTCCCTGTTGTCTCTGTTGTCAAAGCTAAATCAAGTATTCTAAATCAACAATAGCTGAATCTAGCACTAAATGGGACTAGAAGCAACCAGAGGATCTAATCCGAACCTGTGATGCTTTCTTTGCCAAGTATTAACACACAAGTTGAGTCCCTGATTTCAGATTTGATAACATGTTATCATGCTCCCTGGATATTCTCAGGAAGGTGAAGGAGGATCTGAAGTAATACTCTTCCTTTTTTGTTTCTGAACCTCTAATAAAGCAACTATAAGCTTGTTGGCTTCTTTTAAAAAGAGGTTTTGATGACCATGGGAACATGCAAGTGCAGTGATAAAATGGATGAGATTTTGATAAATCCCCAAAAGAAATGTATGCAATGATAATCTCTTTAGCTCCTTTGAAATTTCAGAAATAAAGGCAGTCATACGCATTTTCATGTTTGACTTTTGCTATCACAATAGTTTATTATTATTTTGAATGTAGGGTATGAAATTGTTCTGCATGGCGATCCGTTTCAACTTCTGAGAAATTGTATGTTATAGCTCTGTAATGTTTTAAAATAGCAAAGCCAGGTAGGGATGAACTTTACTGGATTTTAAAACAATAGTTGGATTGTCCCATGGTGATAGTCAGTGAAACCTTTGATATTAATCTTTTCCGTGTTGTGGGTGTTTGTACGTGCAGAACAGAGAGCAACTGTTAACTAATTTGTTGATGACACAAAACTGGACCCTATTTATCTGTGTGTGGTTAAAAGGATGTAGTATTTTCTACATATGGGCTAACGTGGGTTTTAAATGTAATGCAGATTAATCTGAAATACTGCATATTTGGATCCAGAATAATGAGCGTTATGTCAAAAATATTGAGAGGACAATCAGCAAGCTCATTCTTTATAAATTGCCAAGAGGATACTTCCTGGAAAACTGATCGCTGAACAAACAAGGTTCAAAGCTCTTATCCCACGGTGGTGTTTTTAGGTCCTTAAACAGAAAAGACAGGTTGAAATTTTCTGGGCTTTTCCTTCCTTAGTCTCACGCTCTCTGAACTTTAAGATGAGTAGGCAACAATTTTAAGGCTTTTTATGTTATATTTTTGAAAACATATTTCCTTTTCTGTCTTTATTTGCACATTATTTCAATTCGTTGAAACAGTAACAAGCTGCTAACAGTCATTGACGTAAATTGTGCATTCCATATATATAATATAGTATGTATGTATATTGAGGTAAAAATGTATGCATCCCAGATAGATATAGATATCGATAGATATATATAGATATAGGTATATAATGCATAACGTATGTATTCCAGAAGCTTTCTATTTAATGGTTATGAGGGAACCGAGTTATAGCATGCAGTGCAAGATATATATAAAATCTGACTGATATATTCATATTAGTCTGAAGTTAATAGTTTATCCAAACAAATGACAGTGGAAGTGAGAAGAAACATTTAAACAAAGATACAGGAGATATTTTTGTAGGAATTCATTTACTGAATTTTCAAATTCACATTGTTCTTGACTTATTTTTTTTTGACAATATCTAATATGCTAGTCTTTTATCAACCCAGATATCAAGAAATAGATGATGTACTCATTTAAATAAAATTATATAATTTAGTATGCAACAAAAATTAGCTATTTAAATTGCTATTTGAAGAAATTATATTTTAGCAATAACTTTTTACAGTGGGTTTGTTTTTTATTCGGATAGATTCCTGAGAAAAATATTGAATAGGAAGTACTGGATCTACTTATTACTTAGCATAACTTTATTAAATTCAGAGAATCTCACATGAGAGAACTAGTACTGTTTGTCTGACGTGATCAGCAAGTGAATATGCAGAGAACAAGCCAGTGGATAACTTAAAATCAAACCCAGTAGAAGAAAATATATTTGCTTTAAATACAATAACAATAGAACATTGAATATTCTAATTCACAATTGTTTTTTGTAAAATGCTTCTAAGAGAGATTGTGACTGTTTAAGCTGCTGACCCCTGAACATTTCATATGGGCTTGCATGCAGCTAGTTAGCTATTAGTAGCTGCCTGTGCTTTTAGGCAACTAAACAATAAAAAATAAAAGATGTGAATAATGAAGAGGAAATATATTGTTATAATGAACTCATTTACATTTTAAAATAGAAATTTTTCATTTTTTTCCCTTTGAATATCAATTAAGAGATCTCAAATGATATGCCATTTTTGCTTTACATTTACCTGAAATATAAATTTACTGATTCTTTCAAATCACAATATTTTTCAAAAGCTGCATGAAAAATAGAGTTTAGCCTAGCTTAAACTGTTATAATCGCAGGGCAGGAGGGAGTAGATGTATAAATGAATAAAATCTGTACTCCTGAAACTATACCCTAAATCTTAGCAGTTCTGAGATGCCTGGTAATTTAGAATTAGAACAGAATTTAAACTGACTGAATGCGAGAGGTGCAAAGAAGGTTATGTTTTGTAAAATATACAATGATTGTAAATTCCAGCCATATCTTATTTTGATTCGACCTGTACTGAAAACTGGTTTTCACTTTACCTAACCTTTTTAAGGTTGATGAACCTACATTGATGTCCGTTCTAGCCTTTGGTAACCCTCAGGTGGTTAATGCATCACGTTCCCAGAATTTCTGAGCATATCACACAAAAGTGTCTTATTCTATTTTACTGTTTTATTCCCAGTCATCACAATAATACTGATCCAGCAAAGCTCATAAGTATAAGCTTGATTGAAAGCTAAGTCCCACTGAAGTGCTTAAAAATTAAACAAGTATGTAAGGGCAATACCAAATCAGATATTGTATTAAAAATTTCATTTGTTGCTTATGGGAGATATTATCCAATCATAATTATCACAGATCACCACCAGGTGTCCTCTCTTTTTTGTTCCTCTTCTACTTACTGCTAACAGTACAAAAATCCATATTATTTATATGCTGAGTTATTAATTTCTGCTTAAATAAAAATATCGTTACAGAATGCTTGTGTTACCTGAATAACAGAAGACTCTTGTCAGTCTCATGGGGAGTGGGGGGAGGAAATGTGAGTAAACATTTCCAAGAGCAAAGACGACCTAGGAGAGTCTTTTAAAAGTCTCTGGTGTTCTGTAACAAGGTCTCCATTTGATGTCTTCTGCCCTTCTACCATTGAGAGATGTGAAGTTGGAGAAAATTGCTATTTCCAGCCAATTTCTACAGGAAAGAAACAGAAAACCAACATAAGCTTTCCTTTCTTTCAAAAAGGCGTGCTTGGAAAATGCATTATGTATAAATTAGTGATTTACTGAAGTAGTGAATTTGTGAGGTTGTGTGGATCATTGAGGAAAATCAAAACCCTCAGTTATTTGGCTTTCATTTCATTTCATTTCATTTCATTTCATTTTTTTGAACAGGACTAAGTAAATATATAAATCGTGATGAGTTAGTCGAGTTGTTTCATGTGTGGATCCTTGTTTGCATATCTAAATCTTATACAGCTGATTTGCAATTTATGCTGTGCTGTATATCGGATAGCTGCAGTGTTTGGATGTGGCTTCTTCCTTACTCTGAAGTAAGGATGAAGCTGTTGTCACATGGGCTTGAGACATGGTGGCTAGCTCTACCTATGGTAGAAGACCTCTAACTTCATCCCAGCACT